ATATTTTTGAGCTTCTTTATAGCAATCATCCGCCTTAACCACTTCTCCTAAACTTTTGTAGACGTCACCACATTCTACATAGGCTTTGGCTAAGTGTCTTTTTACTTCACGAATTAAGGAGAATCTGTGAGCCTTAAATTCATCAATTGCATTTTTATAGGCATCTATAGCTTCGTTTAGATGACCATCGGATTTTTGTTTTCTAGCATTTTCTAAGTGGGCTTTACCCTTATTGTAATGATTGACGAACATATTTATTTCAAATTTTTGAGGAAAAGGTTAACCTCAATAACTGAGTCGATACGCATTCTTCTATTATTATATACAGTATATCTATATTTGTATAAAAAGATATTACAGAAACAATGTGTCACCAAGAAATTTGTGCACTTACATTGCATTTTATGTGTCACCAAAAAATTTATGCGACTATTAACATGAACTAAGATTTTTCAAAAGAATAGTAATTTATTTAAATTAAATTAATTAAATATATATATATATATATACATATTATGAGACAAAAAAAAACTGCCTAAAATTAAAATAAAAAATATATGTGTATATATTTAAAAATATAAAGAATAGAAATATATAAAAAAAAATTTTTAAATATAATAAATTATTATTATTAAATTATAATTAAAAAAAGATAACAAATTAAAATTTAAATTTTTCCTTTCATTTACAAAAAATAATAACAATCAATTATTAAAATTATATAAATATATAAATTAATTAAATATAGATTAATAATAAACTTAAAATATGATTTTTATAATTTTTATATAAATAAAAAATTTTTTTGGCTTAATATTAAGCTACTTTTTAATAGAATTTAATAAAAAAAAATTAATAATAAAAAGATATTATTTTATTAATAAAAAGATTAATTAAAATCTAAATATATATATATATGTATTAAAAATATATAAAAAATTATTGAATACTTAAATTATTTTTTTAATAAATACATTGTTAATATTTATTTATTATTTATTAAATTAATATAAAAAGTAGGTAGCTTAATATTAATCTAAAAAATTTTTTTAAAAAACTTTTTATTAATATAAAAATTATAAAAAAATTATTTCAAAGTTATATAATCTATATTTAATTAATTTATACATTTATAAAATTTTAATAATTGATTGTTTATTATTTTTTGTAAATAAAAGAAAATTTATAAATTATAATTTGCTATTTCTTTTTAATTATAATTTAATAGTAATATTTTATTATATTTAAAAAATTTTTATATGTTTTTATTTTTATATATTTATCTAATTAATCTTATTTATTTAAACGAGTGAAACATCACGCGTTTATATGGAATTAACGTGACAGTATTATTATGAGCATAAACTAAACACATGCTAAAGCATTCTGATATGTTCTTAATAAAATTGACCTAATTTTTTGCCAATGTAAAAAACGACTTAAATCCACTTACTACTGTTTCTTGGATTATTTCTGGAATAAGATCTATTTTTTTCATGATATGCAATATTCAGATCCAAAGTATGTATAGGATGCAAAGTTTCTAGAAATAATTACGAATGTTGGTTGAGATGCAAGGAGCGAAACCAATTAAGGAAAAATAATTATCGTTGAAATTTTAATTATTGCAATTGTAATCATTATAGTTAGCGGAGAGTACTGAATGTCGCTAACTTGCCTACAATATACTATACCACGTTACGAAACCTCAAAATCACGTGAAGCTTAAATGTGACCACAACTCAGCACTATGGAAGATAGATCTACCGTATATTGTAACTTCTGCACAAAAAGTTCGCCTTTTGCTAAAATGATATAATGAACTCAAAAAATATCATGATTGACCAACGCTGGTTCTAAATCTATCATTAAAAATTTATCTTGCATTATACGCGAACATTTTATCGATCTTACAAAAATCAACTAACTTTTATTGAAATAAATATAAAGCCGCCCCGTACGTACTAATCTTTTGTGATTAATAAATTTTAGGTCCAGCATGAATGAACTCTCTTTTGTAGTATTTATTTATGTACGATCCGTATTAAAGAATTTGTATATACAACTAAAAAGCCTCAATTACATATTATAATTATGTTCTGAAATTAAATTATACAACTATTTTTCATGATACGATTGTGATAAGAGATACTCTTCCCAGCTGATCTTTCCACTTTAAGTTAAAGAAAAAAAAAAGTCAGCAAGACAAGAGTAGTGTAATTGAAACATCAAAATGTCATGCAAATAAATCTATCATCTTAGAAAGAAATCGCACTTACTCATTATTCATATCATCCTCCAAAAGCACATGATCAATCATCTCTGTAATCTCTTCCAGCTTCGTGTGTGGACCATCCGCCGATGAGTTCCCTTCTTCAAAATCGCTGAATGCATTTCGCAATTCGTTGCCATCCAAGTATCCGTCACGATTAAAATCATGAATAGAAAAGAGATAATAAAGCTCGTCGTTTTCGGTCATTTCTTCTGGGTGCGGAATGTCCTTGAGATGATTTTTTACGTGTCTTAATGCAAGAAAATGTTTTTTTTAGATTTAAATACATGAAATTCGAAAGGTATGAAAAATCAAAATGTTAAAATGACAATATAGGATGTGCTTTTAAAGTTAATATTTAGTTTCGAGATCGATGAAAATTCTAACCAAGAAACTCGGTTGTCATTCATTAAAAAAAATGAACATGAATCCCTGCTTTTACTAGTACAAATAAATCTGCATTCTTCTTATAGTTATCCATACTCACTCTTTAATCCGTTCGTGATCTCCATAGTTACCATGTTCTCCTTGATAATTTATGTGCTTGTTGTTTGATATGACAAGTGGTATAAAAAAGAGTACTACAAAAATTCTCACTAGTAACAGTGAACGTAAAGACTTGTTTGAAGAAACGGAAATATGCATTATCGTGAGATTTTTCCTAATTTTCTTTTCAGTTCAGACGTGATGATAGTACTGAATTTAAGGAGATTTTGATCGAATGTATTTCTAGTTAAATTTTGACCAATTGAAATATTCCACATTTAAGAATCATGTGATTTATGATCGCGAATTAAAATATTAAAAGACTAATAATATTTAAGTCATACTGTTTAATGCTATACGGTATTTAACAAAATACAATAATTCACGTACAAATTTTTTAAATAAACAACCAAGAATTTTAATAATTTTTAATATGATTATTGTTAACTTATTTTAAAATCAAATCATAATTATATACAATTCGATTTTATCAATATCGATATATTATTTTCTAATATACAATAAACATATAGTTCTTTCAAATAGTAATATTATTATAATCTTTTATTTAATAATAAAATTCAAAATTATTTTTTAATATACTATATATATATAATATTTGTTTGAATATTACACAATATATAGCTTGAAAAAAATAATATCTTTCATATACAATATAAAAATAACAATAAGTTTATATTATTTTTTTTTTATAAAAATTATTTAAACTAATATTGAAAATTTTTTTAAATAATGTACTGTAATTATAAATATTTATTTAAAAATTAAAAAAAAAATTAATTAAAAAATCAAAAATAATATATAATAAAATATATTTGAAATAATTATAATTATTTTATAAATATTATATTTAATAGTACAAAAGTTCATTCCTATTAATCTTATTAAACTCAAGTCTAAATCAAAAAAATTTTATCAACATTATTTAATAAAATAATTTATTTCTTTATTTTTTAAAAAACCTTATTGTTAATAATACAAATCTAAAAAGTTTCTTCAAATAATATAAAAAAATTTTCAATATCATTGGATTCTATATTATTTGCAAAAGCTTGTTTATATTTAAAATATTTAGTCAGTTTTGTTGCATCTTTAGTTTTAAAATAATTAACTTCTTTAATAAACACAAAAAAATTTTATAATAACAAATATAGTAACCTTATTGTATTCAAAATTAAACTATTTTTTATATACTCTTAATATAAAAACCTCTCTATTATTTATATTTTAAACAATATAAAAATTCATATTTCTTCAGATATAGCTTTAAATTTGAAAATATTTTTTAAATCTTTGACTCTTTTTATCAAAAAAAAAAATAATAAAGTCTATTAATTTCATATTTTATCTAAACAGTAATACATAATTGATATTAAACATATTATAAAAAATAAATTAGCTTACAAAATTAGAATTAATGTTGTAATAATTTTTCTACTTTTGTTATACTTGCTATATTATATATTATATAACAAAAACATATTGAAATATATTATAAGATACTTAAAAATATTTTAGAATATTCTGAATATCAAAGTTTTGTTATAAACGAATAAATATACAGTAAAATAAATATTTGAATATACAGTAGATTATTTTTTTCTGGTAAAATTAAAATTTTCATATATTAAAATCTGATAAATATTTAAAATAAATAATTGACAAATTCACATTATCTTGAATTTCTAAAAAAAAAAGCAATATATTATATGGTTTTGTTTTTAAATACTTTTATATTACTGATCATAAAATTTATTTAAATATACAGACAATCAAATATAATATGCATTGATCACAAAGATACAACCGTTTAAAGCTTTTATTTGAATTTCATTTTCCAAATCATACTTTTTTTCAATATCGTATTGTTTTAGATATTGGAATCAGGATAATTTTGGTTTTATTTTAATTATTTAATTATGACAAGAATAACAATAAAGATTTTTTTATTTTGATCCATTTCTAATAAGGTCCCCGTCGAAACAAATACAGTATATTCAAATTCTATTAATATAAGTTCTATTAATATAACGTATACAGTAATATACAGTAATATTAAAATTTAAATGGATTAAAAGACATAAATAACTTAAATTGAGTTTATTATATTTAATGTATTTTTAATGATGTTTTTTGATTTTAATTTTTTTTTTTTACACCAAAATCATTTGGGATGTCACTTCAAATACTTCCAATTCTTCTGCGACGAAATTTTCCCTGTCCAAAATGCTATTATCGTAATTATTTTGCTTGCATGTTCCCTTGAAATTGAATCCAATATGAATAAATAAAGTTAGTCTTTACTATGCATATCGTATCCCATATAGGTTCAAG